CACAACGCAGCACTACAAGCTGGCTGTAGCCTCTTCAGTGCAAGTTCAATCCTCAGCCCCAGAGGTGACCAACATGGCTTGGCAGACCCCTCCCGTCCCACCCACTGCTCCTCTCAGCCGTGTATTTTGTCACCCTGCCTGTTCTGCTTCCCACTCTCTCTGGTGAATCCTCTCACCCTCTCCCACCCCACCTCTGGCCTATTGTATGCATAAATAATCTTAAAAAAAAAAAAAAAAAAAGCTAATTTTCCTGGTGGCTCAGCAGGTTAAAGTACAGCACTGTAAGTTAGCCAAACCCACTTCAGCAGGACGCCTAGCCTAGGTGACCTACACGGTGTGGCAGACCTCTCCTGACCTGCCCACTGCTCCCCTCAGCATTCAATCTGCCTGTTCTGCTCTCCACTCTGTCTCTGATGAATCCTCTTACCGCCCTTGCACCTCTAGCCTGTACCTCAATTCTGTATGAATAAATAAATAAAATAAAATAAATATTTAAAACAATAATAACTTAAGCTTGTGAGCTCTGGCTCTAAAGAAAAAAAATAGAAACATTTTCTCCCAATACTGTGGCTAGCTCTGATTTTTGTTAAAGTGAAATGTTCACTGCTTTCTATCAGAGTTACGTATGGAAAGTTTTTTTTTCATACAGAACTGGGGTACAGGCCAGAGGGACAGGGGCGGTGAGAGGATTTATCAGAGACAGAGTAGGGAGCAGGAACAGGCTGAGTGATGAAGTACACTGCTGAGGGGAGAAGCGGGGGAGTCAGGAGAGGTCTGCCATACCATGTGGTCACCTCCGGGGCAGGGATCAAACTCATGCGGAAGTGGCTTTAGCTTCTTAATACTGTTCTTTAACCCGCTGCACCACCAGGGAGGGCCCACATATGGAAAATTTTAAAGCTTAAAAGGCAACCAAAGTGAGGTCGCCTTAACTGTTGTTGACAGGATTATCTTTTTGCACAAATAAAAGGTTTCTAGTGACTGAATGGTCACATACATCGACACAATCAAGTCACAAAAACAAACTGTAGTCTGTGTCTTCTATCTTCAGTATGGCGTGTGAGGAACCCTATCTCCTCCTTGGGGCAAGCATTGCTAAACTGACACCATCCTTGATGCTTTTGAAACGCACAACAAAAGGTCATTTTCTTTTGGATCAACAGATGAGAATACAAAACTCAAAGTGAAATGTTTTTTACTCTTGTTTTATTGCTTTAGGTCATTCCCAATCTCTAAGGAGGGAACTAATAATAGCAAACTACTAATCAAAATTGTTAATGTCTACAGGGAAGATTATAAACTTCAATGACACTAATTCCACTGGTGGAATGTGGTAAGTAATCACGCTGGAGGAAACGAATAGTAAATGTGGGGTGAAGACTGACCAGCCAGAAATCCACAAATGCTGGCAGAAGCTGGCTTCCAGTGGCCAATAGTACTGGTAGTACTGGGAATAAAAAGAGGAACAAGAGCTTAGGGACAACAAAACTAAAGGAATTTAGATACATTAAGCTAAGTGTGGTGCTTTCTACCACCAAGACTAGAGAGTGCTTCTTGTCCTCACCAATTCCTGCCTCTCATTTCAATTGGGTGTTTGCTTTACTCATTCCCAAAGTATAAACTTTGACTTTTTAATAGCTAAGCAGTGTAGTATTTTAAACATGTAGAGGAAATGCATTTTCAGTTATAAACTTTTGCTCCCATTATTCTATTCTTATTTGCTAGCCAAGGATGTAGGACAGGATGTTTTATTCTTCTGTTCTGGTTTTCTTGTATTGCTTAAATTTGCTTAGAAGGAATAAAAGTAAATAAATAAAGTACTTCTGCTAGACAACTTCTATAAACTGAAGCAGGTTCAAAATTGCAAATGAAAAGACTGTAGAAAAATATTTTATTACACTGATAATTTTCTTATAATAAATTGAATGATTTCTGATTTTTTCTATCTCTTGAGAAGAGTTTCCATACCCTGGATAGGCAGCCTGCAATAGATAAAGTTGTATGATAAAATATACCTATTTATGACACCCAGATCTGAATCCCGTTGGTCCTGTCTTTTCCCAAGAACAATTACAACTGTAGTAGCTTTCAGAGAGGTACTGCAGAAAAGTTATCATATCAAAATTGAAGGTCATCTCTGTCTATTCAGAAAATCAATGCCTACAAAATCACAATTAAATGTGTCCCTAATTTCACATACAACTCCAAGGACTTTTACACAGGCACCAGGCAGAGCTTTGTAATTTGTTACATCCTATTACAGCCTTCAAAGAAACTGACTTTGATCCCATTTCACTTTACCCTTTATAAAGGGTAAGTCCCTTGAAAGATATTTCACCAAAAGTTTTCTGTTGGCCCCTCCGGACTTCCTCTTCATGCTGCTGTGGAATGCAAATGAAGTCCTGTATGGAAAGTCTGACAGATTCCTTTCTTCACCAAATTATAGTCAGATTTCTCTGAAACTTCTTTAGACCTTGATCCTGCCCCAAATCTTTGCTAGGCTTACTTTATTTAGTTTTAGGAAGAATCCTCCACCTGTGATGTTTGAACACTCTATTCCTCATTCCCAATTTTTGATGTGGAAGCCCCTGTCCTGCCTTTAGCAAGAATCTTGCTAATTCAGTTTAGAAAGAATCCCCTTAGCAGGCCCTCCCTGGTGGTACAACAGGTTAAAGCACCCTACTATGAGGCTATCCAAAGACACCACAACATGAGTTTGATCTCCAGCCAGGGAGCTGTCCCACATGGCGTCCTGTCTCCTGTCTCGCCCACTGCTCCCCTCAGCAGTGAACTTCATCAATCTGCCTGTTCTGCCCCCCACTCTGCCTCTGGTGAATCCTCTTATCCCCACCTCTGGCCTGTACCCCAGTTTCTCATATGCATAAATAAATAAATCTTTTTTCAAAAAAAGAGAGACCCCCCTTAGTCTGGTTGTCTCTTCTTAGTAATGATGTACTACTGATGCTCCCTCATTCTGCTCTTTGACTGGGTTCAAATTTGGTCCTCAGCTCTCTCTTTTATTGTAAATCTTGATATCTGACAGTTCTGCTTAAATCTCCCTTATCATTGTAACAAGCAGTCAAGAGTAATTTTTTCTTTCATAAGCTTCAGGGGCCATTGGAAAGCCCTGACAAGAAAAGAGAAAAAGGGAGGGAGGAAGGGAGAGCTGTTCACTTATTCCCCTGGTTTTCCCCTGGACTAATCAGTCCCTCAAGTGATAGATCAATGCCTGAGGAGGCCCTCCCCACACAATTCTCCCCCTTGCCCCTTCAAGATAAGGATTGCTAATGGGAACTCATTATTACTAGCCCTGGAACACTGCACTATTCGAATTCCTATGTTTTTTCATAACTTGGTGAGTTATTAAACTCTCCTCAAAGTAACTTAACTTGAGGCTATCTTCTATTCTCTGCTGGGTCTCCCTATTACAGATATCATCTCAGATTTCTTATCATGGAGTGGCTCTGAATTCTTTCTAAGAAAGGAAGGCATGGCTATGAACTCAGTGAATTTTTATGAGTAACACAGTGACTTAATCTGACCTTGAATAGTCTATTTCACCCTCTTCTATTTACCTTCATAATTACAGTAACAGTACATTTGTTTCCAAGTAAAATCTCTAAACATCAATATTTTAAGAACTACCTAAGAAGGCTAGAAGTAAAAACTGCTAGTTGAAAGTGATTATGCTAGAAACCTAAGGTAAAAGAACTTTGCCTTTATCTGGCAATTAATATAGTTTAGTGTCACAGTAATACTTTTAATAAGTACATCTAATAAGTATTTAGTACCAGTTACAAAGGTGGAAACCCAAGTAATATCCTGAATAAGACTAATCACAAACTGGCTTGTCAAATTCAATTTGTAGATTTTGAAATCAATTTAGTGGGATTGTGACATTTCTTAACACATACTACATATAGTAATATAAAAACAGAAAATCAGTTTATCCTATGTCCTAACAATAAATGCCATTTCGACAAATTTTTATTTCCCTTTTTACAAACTTCTATGTATGGGCACCATACATAGAATTACCACCAGCAGTATACTACTCAGCACAACACCCTGCCCTGGCATTTTCCCAGTTACCCACCCTAACCCCCCCCATACAAAAAAAAAAAAAAAAAAAACCTTCACAGAATCAACTCCCACAAAAAGAAACTATACTCAAACTTTTGTCTCCAGGTCTGCTTCTGGGTAAATAACTGCAAAGATGAGAAAGGCCTATCCTAGAAAAGCTCATTTGATAGGAAAATCAATGTATTTTTTTAAACTGAAGAAGTCAAAACTTTACTGTTTGTAGCAATGACACAGGTTCCTCTGAGGAGCGATGGAAGAAGTGACACCCTGACAGAAGAGATGGAGGAGCTGCTTGGGCTACTTGCACTACCTCCAACACTGTACGGATACGGAGCTCTCCCAGGAGTCGGTGATCGCGCTGCCCAGGATGCGAACACCCAGACTTTTTGTACTGGCTGAGAAGCTATACTCCTACCATACACTTACGAAGAAAGGAATTTTTATTTCTTCCAAAGAGAAAGAATTCTAGTGTTCAGCTAAAAATAACTGAAATACTATGGAAACTATGAAGGAAGCAAACTGATTAAGTTCCTGACAATGTGCTAAAGAGAATTATTTGTACATCAGTTTTGACCTTTAGTGTTCCTCTGAGGTCACTGGGCAATAGCGGTGAATATTCAACCCAAAGGTGAATTAGAAGTTCTGATGAATTGCTGATATTTTCATTCAGAAACTTCATTTTTAAAATGTAAAGGCTACTGTAAATGAGGACTTTTTCAGGGCTGGAATCAAAATAGAAAGCTATGGCTAATTTTCCTTTGCACCTGTCATTCTGACAAATATTTCTGGGAAGGCAAAGCAGCAGTGTAATCCTCTGAGGCAGAAGTCATGAAGTGTGCACATGAACCCAGTGTCCTTTAGCTGGAAATGGGCCGCCAGCACTCCAGGCCCAGTTGGCCTGCGCTGCTAACACTCACCCTGACCCAGCAGGCAGTGGCGGCAGAGATGAAGGGACATTAGTCAATGGTTTTTCTTTTTCATTTTGCTTGAAGAAAGATTTTGCTTCTTTAGATGTAGCATCCACTTCCTTAGTCACCCTGTGCAACAAGAAAAGAGATGCTAAGTTTCCAAGAGGAGTAAAACAAGATAAACAAAAATCTAAGAAAAGGAAATACATGGCAAGTAAAATACCCACTGGGCTTGCATTAAGTTCTGGCTACTGAGCTTTAAGATTCAAGTTTATTACAACAGTTTCAAAAGACATGTTCCCTCACTAAATGAAACATGTAGAGCTGATCTCTCTAGTTCTCCCTGACTTCCATCAGCATGAACCACACTCCCACAGTCGCTACTGAATCACAGACCACTGGTTGTTACTGATGTACAGGCTGAAAAGGCTCCCTGCATGAGCTCCTGCACAGATGAGAACTCATACTTTAAGACCTGGTAAAAAAAATACTTGGAGAAAAGCAGTGGCATTATTTCAAGGGGAAAAGCCACAGTATAAACAATGGGAAATACTCTGCAGTATTTCCTAACACACCTAAAACAATCCAAAGCGGAAAAAAAAATTATTTAAAACTAATTAAACTGGCACTAATCTGGCAGTGAAAGAAAGCTATGTGACTGAGACCCCTGCCCAATTTCCAATGTAGAAAAATTGCCCTCAGTAATGCTGAGTCCAAAAGGATCAAATAAGAATATTTACAGTGCCTGAAATTTCAGATATAGAGAAGTCCTAATGCCTGCCTAGACTTGCCAAGTCAACAAAAACATCTAAGGAATTCTGTTTAAATTCCAGCTTCTGTGTGGGAGGGCTCGCAGTTATGGTCACAGTATTATGAAATGTTCAATTAGGTTGTTCAGAATAACACTAATTGAGAACATTAATAGACAAATCCTACACATCCTATTGTTTCAACGATATAAGAAGTCCCTACAGACTTAAATCTTTTATGTCCTTCTAGTCTCCCAAATGAACAACTCAATAATCACTATCAAAAGTGAGAAATAAGAGGAAGAATATAAATGACAAATAAGACCATCATTCAGCAAATAGTCATTCTTTCCTTGGTGACCAAGAAAATAATATTCCACTGCACTGATGTTGAGCTTGGGTACCTATCTTACTTTAATGGCCAGGGAGAAGGTTAGGTGACATGACAAGAACAGAAGCTGTAAATGTGCCTGAAGTCCCTCCCTTTCACCGTAAGAACACACCTCAAGAAGCTGCTGGTCCAAGAGGCTGAAAAACTCATACCTTAAGAAGTTGCTGGTCCAAAGCTAAACCATAATGAACCCAGCAAGCAGACCGGAGTCAAGCTGAGATCAACTGAACCCTATGTACCCAGAAAGTCATAAGCAAAAATAAATGCTTTGGAGATGATTTATTACAGAGCATTTCTCTAGCAAGTGCAGGCACATTTGTAAATTCAAGAGTGAGCAAGTGGAAATCCAAGGGGTTGTTACTTTTCCAAGATTATCCAGAGATCAAGTATTAATAGCAATGCAAGAGAACCCTTTGGTAGACTGTATTCCCCAAAGAGAGTTGTCAAAACTATCCTATCTTATCTGTTCTCCCACAACCTAACTCTACACTAAAGCACGAGAGCAAGTGTGTGTGTTTACTTTTTGTGGGGTGAGACCACCCCTTGAAAATAGTGGGCCTTTGTGGCTGCCAATTCTTAGAAATGGTGGAAGTGGCAGTCCATGACCTCTGAGGCTAGTTGATAAAAGCTGATATAGCGTGCACCTGGTTCTTCTTGAGAACGCACCTTTGAAATTCAAAGTTAACAATACAAGAAGTCTGGCTCCCCTTTCTATTGTTTTCATTTTTCTCCAAAAGCTTCCCTTTCTCCACTGAACTCAAACAAGTTTACTGAGACTTGGAGTAAGAGACAACTTTGTGGGCCAGATACAGTGCTGTATATGTATAGTATCACCACCTTGAAGTCACCATGCTGGAAAGAACACATGGAGAGATCATGCAGAGGCAAATGCTAGAGCAGTCTGACCCAGGTCCGGGTGACTGAGTCTGCCTAGCCCTGGCACTAGACATGGGAGTAAGGGAGCTTTGGGGATGGCTCCACCAACTGTGCACAGCAGCACGACTGACGCTGAGCAAGAAGAGCCTAGTGAGCTCAGCCACCCCCTGAACCAGGAGAAATTATAATAATACAACTGTTTAAAGTCACTAAACTTGAGGATGACTTTACACTGCTATACAGACAACTGAAATAAACACACATCCAAACCTAAGACTTAATGCCGATTCCCAGAGACTGGACTAGAGAGCGTACTTCAAATTTCTGTGCCCTGGGTAGAATCTGGGGCAGACTTGAGCTGGCACATGAAGAACACCTGTAAAGATCATTTAGAAATAGTGACTGAATAGAAGTTTCGTTTACAAGTCTCTACCAAAACTCTATTAAAAAATGGGGGGGAATTTTTTTTCTTTTTTTTTTTGAAATATATATATAATAGTTTATTTTTACATTATTCTGTGTATTTTTCCATCTCATTTGCAATCCCCTTGGGCTTCAAAGTGGGGAAAAAATTTAAATAGCAAAACCACACACAGAAAATGACAAGACATATATTAGTAATAGGCTGTTCACCAAACTCTCTGAAGGCAGAAAGCAGACAGACAGTGGCTGCTTAGATTTTTGTTTTCTCGGATCTCCTAAGCCTACAGCCACGTGGAATGTTTAATAACAAGGAAACCAAAGTATACTTGTTTTTAGAAACTCAATAAATGAGATACCAGGAACCTCAGAAGGTAGAGGTGCAGGGTAGAGCTAACACCACAGCAGATGCTCCCCAGTCCAACTTAGCAGAACCCATTACTCTTGGGAGAAATGAAAACCACTAAAGTTCCAGACTGTAAGGGCAGGGATGAAGTCTCATTCTGAAAAGAAGGGAATAAAATGGAAAGCTATTCTTCCCTGGCTCAGCAGTCCCAGAGAGCTAAATTACTAGATGGAGTGCTACTGAACCTATATTAGAATTTGCTACAGTAAGAAATAAGTATGTGCTATGTTAAACAGTTTCTGAGTTTGTTACCCCAGCATAGTGTAGACTAGCTTAACTAATGTGTCATCATTTAACTAATAGGAATTCCAGAAAAAGTGAAAACAGGGGACAGGTTATCAACAGTAAGGAAAACTTCCGAGGAGGATGAATTTCCACAAAAAGTCACAGAGTATTCAACACAGCACATTTTAAAAGACCAACATCAAGGCACATCACTGTGAAAATTAATTTTTTTTCAATTGTGGAATTTCAGAATGTTGGTAATAAGAGAAAATGAAGATCAAGCTGACCAAGTTATAGGGAAAGTAAAAGATGCCTGTACAAAAACCAAGTCTTGTTCTGTTTTACCAGAGGACTGACAAAATTTCTGTAGCAGCCACCTAAGACAATTTAGTGAACATTTTCTGAAAAGCAACCAAGATCAATGCACCATTGAGTGTGGGATCCAGAAAGACACTTGGTCTGTGCACTTACAGGCCTCAGCCCATGAGGACAGTCAGCCAAGAACACACCATGACCATGCGCAGTGTATACTAAGTGTCACAAGTAAAGCAGGGAAGTATAGCCTGTGGGAGTATCTCTGATTCTTGGAATCAAAGTCCTTTCCACAATCACTAGGAAAAAAGTTCTAGAAACTGGTATATTTCTCTCAGGGACTTTGGTAATTGACACTAAGTAATAGCTAATTAGTGTTCCTTGATAGCATGCCTAAAACTCCACTTCTAACAATAAAGAGAGATTCAGCTGTCTGAATCTTCTAGTAGAACACTAAGTTATAGACTACTTCTAATATATCAAGAGGAAACCCTGACAGGAAAAAGGACCACTATTAGCAAGTTAATTCAAGTGTTATCAACAAAAATTCCACTTTAACTTCATTTTCACTTACTCAACTTCCTAAAAAGTCTTTGTTTAGCCAGAAACTTTCCATGACTGGCCTTTTCCAAAAAATGACTCATTAGGAAAGTCTGAGCTAACTGACTCAGCTGATTATGTGTCAGGGAAGGACAACAAAAATACTATTTTTCCTCATTCCTCAAAGTTAATAGGCTGTGTATTTTTCAACTGGAGAAATATGGAGAAAGGGGGGGGGTCCAAAATTTAACAATTAAAATAATATTAGAAAAAACTAAAAGACTAACTTTGTGCTAACACTACCTTATGCTTATACTTACAAATTCTTCCCAGTCATCACTAGCTCTTTCTCATATTTCTTACAGATGTAGTAATGCTCTTAAACTTGATACAAAGACAAAAAAGGAAAAAGCAGAATAATGACATGAAGAGTTAAGATATGCTCAAATCCATATACCACATTAACAAATGGTAGACAATTAAAATTCAAGAGTCCTGAATTCCTATGTAAGGGTTCTTTATGATACCTAAATTTAAGTATAAATAATGTAAGTTTTAAAAAACTTACCACGCCAACTATTATCAGGTTTTTCCTTTTCTTTAAGTTACAGACAGGGCCCTCCCTGGTGGCACAATGGGTTAAAAAGCACCGCACTATGAAACTAGATGCAACCACCTCAATAGAAGTTACATTCCGCCACCAGAGAGGTGACCCACATGACACAGCAGACCTCTCCTGTCTAGCTCACTGCTTCCTTGCACTTTGTCAATCTACCTGTTCTGCTCCCACTTTATCTCTGGTGAATCTTCCTACGCTCCACACCTGTACCCCAGTTCTGTATGTATAAATATTTTTTAAAAAAGACCGTTACAATTTTTGCCATGTTACATGTTGTGTTAAATATATTTAAACATGCTTGTTTAAAGTTAACAGGATTCACAACCTCTGAATATAAAATATATGTGTATATTTATGGGGGAAACAAAGGTTCATCCCTTTATAGTTTGTTTTATTCTTGAGACAGGATACTACCCTCTTCTGACAAATTATAGAAATAGCATGATTCATGAATACAATATTTAAAATTACCATCCATTTCCCTTAAAAAATAAAGTGGGGGCCCTCCCTGGTGGCACAGCGGGTTAAAGCACAGCACTAAGAAGCTTAAGCCACTTCCGCATGAGTTCGATCCCCGCCTGCCCTGGAGGA